GGAAAGTGTAAATAAGACACAACCGTCTGATTAACAGAACACCATAGAAGTGTCATTTTACCTCTAACTATAGAGAGGCTTTTCACAACAGCATACACCATGCTTACAGACTTGAACATTAGTTCCTGAGCATCATAATCAGATACCTCTCCCCAAAGATTCTGATAACAACAACAATAGGAGAATCTATTCTCTGTCAGACAGAGAGCCATTAGCAATACACATGCAGCAGCAAAGTAAATAGCATTCCACAGAAACACCAACGACTCCAGAACCATCAATGTGAGAGTGGCTCACAGGCTGCTCACAATAAGAACTATAAAATCAGCAGAACAGTCTCGAATGATAACCCATTCTACTCAAAATCCCAACACATTTGACTTGGCAACACTGCACCTTATGAGGCAAAAAGCCACAAGATATTCTTGAGCTCAAAGTTAGAAAGGCAAAACTAGACGAAAGCCACAGTTCAACTAAGGTAACTTTTTAATGAGTTGCAGCCAATATAGATAATCCATCAGGTAGCAGTAACCCTTTATTTTCCAATTAATTCTGGCTGGTTTCTAGCCAAATTAATTTTCCAAGTCAGTTGCAGCAGGAGAGATGAAAATAAAATTTTATAATGAAAGCCAGCACCCAGCCTAATCACTAGATAATCCACTGCTTCTCCGTAACACTCTTTCTTCCATAATTATCAATGCAGGCTGACAAACATTAAATTGCATCAGAAGAACATCAACTCCAACGCAGTTTTCCAAAAACGAGGCAAAGCCACTTCTTACATCAATTTCAGAAACCTTTTTAAAAACAAACAAAAAAAAACCCCAAAACACACACACACACAAACCCAAACAAAAAAACAACCTATGTTTAATGCTGCTTTGTCTCACCCATGAGATGTAGGACTCATTAAAATTTGAAAATAGAATTTTAACACTATTCAATTTTCACATTTTTAAGTTGATTACCATCTAAATGTTTGTTCTGCGAAGATTTCTATTGCTTCTGAGGAGAAAAAAACCTCGCATACATAAGTGACAAATTCAGAGAAATCTATTTCAGTTATTTTAGACAGAATACTTGGTTATAAACCGAAACTGAATAAGAACATCTCTCACAGTACTGCTCTTATCAGCTTTTTTTAAAATCTAAGTCATACCCATCTTACCAAAAAATCCAGCACATACATTAAAATCCACTGCACATTTTAACTTAATGCATTAAAATCATAGAAAGACATCTCCCAGGTCTTCACTAAATTAAATCTGGCTCTCCTTAAAAGCAATCACAGTCCTTATCTCTAACCCCTACCGGAAGGTTGCTTTGGATGTTCTAAATTAGAAATCCCCTTCTAACTTCCAAATGGGTACATGTATGGAACAGCCTATATAAATTTGAATTAATATAAGAATTTCCTCTTAATTCTCTAACCTACACATTTACAGACAGCAATCAGAACGGTTTCTTCCTGCTCCAGAAAAGAGGCAATAATAGAAGAGCCTTTTCCTTGCATCAGATCTATCAATCATGCAGCAAGTCAAACAGGGAACCTGATCCAACAGAAAACTAACCCAGCAGAAGAACTAGTTCTCTGTCAGATCAATGCGATCCTTTCAACAGCTGCCTGTTAGAGCAGATTAAGTGTATCATGAAACCGCACACCAAGAGTTTACAAAGAACTGGCTAGCCACCTTAAAAATAAAGCAAACATGAAATAACATCTCATAAGAAGCACTCCTTAAAGACAGCATTTTCTCTTTAACAGGCACTTGAATCTCCCAACCATCATGAAGGAAGCAACAGAGAGAGAAGATAAAAAAAAAAGCGGCATCGTTTGAAATCCATAATGTGGCCCTAGTTTTCAAAATAACATTTGACTAGACACAGATGAGCAATACGAAAAGTTTGTGTTCTCACACAGAAAAGAGCAGATCTTTTCCAACTTGCTAAAACTCACAGGCTGAAGACAGCCCCCATGACTAACAATGAATTTCACTTTATGATCACCACCAAAACTTTTAAATGCTCCTGAGAACAGGCCATTGAAGTAATTCTGCATCTGTGTTTTAGTTACAATACAATATAAAGCCTATTCAGTTGGGAAGTGGTGTGATAAACCATTCTGGTGTACCTTACCCTGTGTACCTTTCCTCCTGCAAAGCCCACAAAGATGCTTCAATATGTTATTTTTCTCATTTAACTTGGAAAGGTCAATTATAACTGAACCCATCCCTTAAGACACTCACTGCCCAGCTCCTCAGGGAGAGGGTATATTGTGCTCTCCAGAGGTGAAGGGCTCTGTTTCAGAAAGTGGTAACTACTCACATTCACAATGCAATTAACCCTGGCATGGCTGATGGAAATGCATATAAACTGCTGCTGAACCAAGTTCAGACCGTGTCATTCTACCCACCCTCAGGTATAAAAAAGATGCTTTCAGCATCCCTTACTAGGTTTATTAAAAGCAACAATATTCATCCAACATCTCCAAAATTATGCCATTTGACATTTGGTCAAATACATAGAATTTATAAAGGGGTTTTTTTTGAAGAAGTGGGGTGGCAGGTGTTTGCTTAGTTTTTTATTATTTTCAATAGTACCAAAACTAAATTTAATCTCATAGTGGGTCTCCTATAAGTTAAATATAAATATAAAACAAATATATATATAATATAAATATAAAACAAATATATATATAAATATAAAGCAAATATATATAATATAAATATAAAACAAATATAAAGTGTTCATGAAAAGAAGACATATTTGACTAAGCACAATATTTTAAAGTCAAGTGGTCTAAAATAAATCCCAGTGAGTTTGAGAGAAAGTCATGTAAGCAACCTAAGCTTAGTGAAAGGTCAACCGAAGTCAGGCAAGTTCAGTGTGTCCAAGAATCTGATTCAATACAAACTGACTTCAATTTTCTCACTAGGCACCCACTTTAAAGAAATACTATCAACATTTAATAGCACTAGTAGGTAACTCCACAGATAGGACTAGTAGTTTCTCTACAGATAGCTATTTTCTACTCCAGTTTAGCATCTACCTGTACAATGGATGTATGCTTATACATAAATTATTAGAAGTATGTTTTACATATCAAAAGATACAAGCTTTTAAGTAGAAAATAGAAAGTGGAAAGGATTTTCTAAATGAAACTCTCACCCAGGCATTGTACAGGTACTGCAACAGAAAATAACTACTACTTAAATAACTCATATGACTCATGTCACACCCTGGACGAGGATTAATCCAACACCTTTGAGGCCTTTTTTACCTTAAAAGGACTATTTACTCCGTAGCAAAGATATACCTTATGCTAATAGAATCACTTCCACTTGGCTAATTTAGATCCATTCCCCAAATTGAATAAGACAAAGTCCTCTGGCCAGTAAATCCAGTTCATGTGGGGGTCCTTCACTGGCAGCACTTGCTTGATGCTGAGCACCAGCCTGGTCCAGGCCAGCCACCTCCAGGGACCTGAACACCTGAACCCTCATCCCTCCTTTTCACAGCCTAGGAAGTGCAAACAGAAACACAACGGCACCACCTGGGTCAACAGAGAGCCATCCCATTTTAAGGAAGTACTTTTCTCAACTATTTTTCTTCTGCCTGTGGAAAATAAAAAGCTTAATGACACAACTTTGCAACCCAGATCAGTAACACAGTTCTGGCTGTCATCAGCCTGATAACAATTAGCAATAACGTGTAATACTGAAGACAGCCAACAGCATCAGCAGGCAAGACTCCTGTATTTTTTTCATTCAGAAGGAATAGCGATCACAGTTTTGGAGCTGGCCTTTGCCATCAGCAGCATTTGCTGGAGATTTAAAACGTTACACCCAAATAACAGCAAGTTTTCCCGAAGTAGTTCATTAGCAACAAGCAACACCTAGGTTGGGAGACGTAAAACTTTCCACCGCACGCACTGTTAACGACAGTCACCTTTTCACACAGTAAAATTCCAAATAATCCAATCCAAGCGTTAGGGGCTGGAGACTGAAGACATCTGATCCGCATTAGCCGGACACGTGAGCAGGGCGCTGAGGCGCAGCACCCCAAAGCCCCCCACACAGAGGGCCGTGGGGAGGGGGGCGGCGGGCGGGCCGAACCCCACACAGCAAACCGGGGCCAAAGCAGGTCGCCTGGGGTGAAAGGAAGCTGTAATCCCCCGCTGGCCTTACGTGCCACCGGCGGGCACGGGATGCTGGGCCGAGGGGCACCAGGAGATGGGGGGCGAGATGAAACAGTGAGGGAGAAGAGGAAAAGGTTTTAATATAGGCTACATAAAAAGTAATTTAAAAGGAAGTCGCCACGATAGCAGCAGATCTAGGGGTGAGATTTACGTCCCCCGTGAAACCACCGGAAAAATGCAGAGTAATCTAAGCGGATGCAGGCACATGTGCGCATCCACAGGCGGACCCAGGCACACACACACAAAGCACCGAGAGCGCACCGGCAGAGTTGCCGGGGTCCCAGCGCACCCCAGCCGGTCAGGGCTGGGGCGGCGGCTGCCACCGGGGCGGCGGCTGACGATGCACCGCAGGGCTGCGGAGCGGCGGCGCGGCACCCTCGGCCGGGCCGG